GGGGGTTAAAACACTTTCAACGTCACGAAAGAAGAGGAGAGAGAAAACGAAACTAGAAAGAGAGAAACAACGACATATTGTAAGGTTGAAAAAAGTTTTACCCACCGCGCCCATTGACACAGTGTACAGAATTGGGGAGCAAGTCTCACCTCGGATTTCCAGATTTCTGATCTTATCCTCCATCTGGGAGATGGTTCTCTCCAGCTTCTCGATCTGGCCCGCCTTGTTCATGTTGTCGGTGCGAAGTCTGGCCGTTCGCTCCTGCTCCACACACAGCTGTTTGCTGTGGTCAGACCGGCTGTTGGCTATCTCATCCAGACGGGTTTGAAGCTCCTGAAAAGCACAGCACGAGTGGTGATGGTGTTGATTGTTTTGATTGTAGTGATAAAGAGACAATAATACCAATGTTGTTGTTGTTGTTGCTACTGCTGCTGCTGCTGCTGCTGCTGCTATTGTTGTTGATGATATCGGCCTTCTTAATATTGCTATACATAGTTGTTTGGTTTTGTTTGTTGTTACTGTTGGTATCGATATCTTTGTCTTTGTTCTTATTGTTATTGTGTTTACATGTTGTTGTACGGTGACAGTGATCAATGTTATCGTGAGGATGATAATTCCGTCAACAAAAGGATATTAATATTGATGCTGCTACTGCGACTGATGCTGCTCATGATAAGGTGCATAACCCTAAATACAATTACAGTCGTCTCTCTTTCTCTCCCCTCATCTCTCTGGCGTCTCCAGCTCACATGCTCTTCAGTTCGAGCAAACGCCCATCGGTCAGACCAAGACTTTTATATTCCCCTCCAGACTTATAAACAGTTACTGATTGTGTGGGTTCAAGGACGGTGGCATTGTCGTCAGTCCCAACAGACGCGTATTGATTTGTTCCTCCCGTGATTGCACCTGTGTGATCGGACTGGACCAACACTGGGTTAACGAGGGGCTTATATGCAGTGCACATTGCCCATTTGATACATTGGAGTCAGTTGATAAAGAAGGGGCCGGCCACGATTTTCCTTCATGGAGGGGCTAAAGCTGCAATCTTGGCACAATGGAATCAATTCCTCCAAACACAACACGGTTTTGATTTGAGTTATTTGACCAAGTTGTGTCAAAATAGTAGCCTTACCCCCCCTCCCTCCCCATGGATGGAAATCAGGATGGCTTCGACTCATTTCGACTGAATTCGATTGGCAGTATGCACTAGGTTTAATACGACCTTCCTCTCCTTCACATCTGACGTAGCAGAAGCTGCGTCGTTACGGAGAAAACCATTCTGACCAGAATTTCTTTTTAATTTCTCCGATTTGACACGGCACCATTAGATTTTTCTAAAAGGCCAAGCGTCTTTACTTCTGTCGGTTAAATTGGTCAGCTCAGAAGTAATAGAAACGAGCATTTCATAAAGGAGCAAGTCAGGTGGTTAATTTGAATTCACTAAGTTATCGATCATCACTTTCGCCATTGTAATATAAGCGTTTGCTATTTGAGGACATCATATAATTTATTTAT